GATGGACACAGGGAAGAGGTAACTATCAGGAGGAAGTGAGAGGAGGAAGGTTGGTGGTTCAAAGCCACCCAGAGGGACCTCGGAGACAGGCCTGGTGACCTGGTTCTGAAAGGTAGCAGCCTTGAAGACCCTACGGGCCAGTTCTACTCTGCACGCAAGGAGTCACCGCCACGTTGTCTCCCAACTTGTGGAGTTGACTCGGTAGCAACTAACGACTGACATTTTTGACTGTCACAGCTGGGAGGTTGCTGCTGGCAGGCGGTGATGATGCTCACCCCTTTACAATGCACAGGACACCTCCCCGTCCCCCAAGGAATGACTCCAACGGAGATGTCAACAGGGCTGATGGTGGGAAACCTTGTCATCTAACCCACTGGCCCAAGTCTGGTGCTGCACTGCCCAAAAGCACCAGCTCCCACACACGTGGGTCCCCTGGAACCTTCTCTCTCTCTCACCAGGGGAAGAAGCCCTGCTGGTATGTGCTCTCATTTCCTAGGCACCACTTGCCTGTGTGAGGTGGGCAACTGCTGAAGCCTATGGCTATCTGCTTCCTCACTTCAGGTTGGCCCCCTGGAGGGGTGCCCAGTAGGGCAGCAAGGACAACAACCTGGCCACTGGCTGAGAGGAAGGGGTGGAGGGGGTACAGGCAGGCGAGGCCAGCTCTCCACACACTGGTTCTGCCCCCACCTGGGGGGCAGCCTGATTGTTCACTGGGTGCAGACACTTAGCTAGTCAGCTTGCATCATCCTAGACCTCGAAACCATGGCAACCCTGACAATGGGGGCATTGTGGTAACCCCTGGCAACCTCAATCAGTGGACAGGGCGATGACATTCTCACGTTCTCCAATGCTGGGATCATTCCTCAGCTGCGTGGAGGCCTTGGGGCTCTGCACATCCAGGCCCAACACAGCACGCCTGCAAGTTGCAGGACTCCAGGAGTCCCTGGGTGGGACTTTCCTCATGAGCTGCTCAGAGTCCCCCACATTCTAGAAGCTTCACCCATCGAGGAAGCTGCTCCTGCAGCTGGTGCCTCCGCACACTCACGTCCACGCCCTGTGCTGCCGCTGCCATTCCTGTGCTGAAAAGGGCTTCTTCTCCCTCTCTCTGCCCAGGAAGTCCCTGGGGAGAGCAAATGATTCAGCACGAGATACTAGCTGGAAAGGCTGGCAGTTCGAGTCCCTCCGAGACAGGCCTGACAGTCTGCTTCTGAAAGGCCACAGCCTTGATAACCCCATGGGGCAGATCGAGTCCCACACACGGGGTTCCCCAAGTCAGAACATGGCAGCAGCTAACAGCAATCCAGGCCCGTTCCTGCTGCTCCGCCCCCACTTCCCTTCTCCCAGCGCTTTGTCCCCAGTTCTCTCTGTGGGGCGCCTCACAGTGGTCCCCAGGGTGCTGAGTGTCCTCCCTCCGCCCCTGCACACCTGCCTGTCAGCCTCTTCCACCTGCTCTGAGCCTAGAGACTGACCCATATAGATTGTACCCACAGGGCCCCCTCGCCCTCTGACCTCTGGCCCTCTGAGCTGGCCATTAGGAGGATGAGGAGAGACAGATACCCTATCCTGGATGTTTCAGTGACACAGACAGTTGTAGGGACCCAGAGAACAGCTGAATGCCAACCTGGCCCCCAACCTGGCTGCACTCTCAGGCCTGACCTGCCAGCCCCACCCCGAGGCTGGGCCTGAGAATCCCACCCACCTTCTCTGGGCCCAACCTTGACCTCTCCTCTGCGTGCCTCCAGGGAATGAGGCACTTTACCCATGGCCAGACTGCCCAGGGGGCAAGGACGCCCGCTGTGACCCGAGGGCCCGGCCTACAGCCCTGTAGCACGTAGGTATGATTGGCTGAGTCACGGCCCCACAAAGATGTCCACATGCTAATCCTTGGAACCTGTGCACAGGAGACCTCACATTGCAAGAGGGACCATGCAGATGTGATAGGGAAGGATCTTGAGATGGGGAATTATGCTGCTTTGTCCAGCTGGTGCCCATGGAATCAGTCACAGGGGCCTGATAAGTAGGAGGAGCTAGGATCAGTGAGAGAGACATGTGAGAATGGAGGCAGAAGTTAGAATACCCACTGCTGTCCAGTGGATTTCGACTCAGGGCAACCCAGAGGGTTTCCAAGGCCGTCAATCCTTACGGAAGCAGACTGCCTCATCTTTCCCCCACGCAGCGGCTGGTGGTTTGAACCACCAAGCCAAGTGCCAACCACGGTACCACCAGGGCTCCTGATTCTCCCCTACAGCCCTGCTGACACCTGGATTTCAGCCAGGGAGAGCCATTTGGGACTTCTGACCTCTAGAATGGCAAGAGAATAAATTTGTGTTGTTCGAGCCACCACATCTGTGTTCATCTGTGGCGACCACAGTAAGAAAGTAACTCAACAGGTAATAGCAGTTAAGGTCTACTTGGCCCTGGGCAGGCGTCAATAACTCTTTCCCTCGTTTAACCCACACAGCAGCTGTATCAGGCAGGATTATGTTTTCTCTGTCTCGTGGCAAAGAAAATGGAGGCAAAAGAGGTTGAGTGGCCTGAGGTACGACTGAGGGGCTGGTGCTGGGGTTTTCATTGCTTCCCCACTAGTGTGGCCCACGCCCGCTCTGCTTCATTGCACCACCCACCCACAACCTTCCCGTCTGCTTTCCAGGCTCACCAGCCTCCTCTCTGTCCCCTGAACACTTCGCTCCCTCATGCCTCAGGGCCTTTACACCAGCTATTCCCTCTGTCTGAAATTCTCCCCACCTAGGACATCCTCAGGAGCTCTGGTAGCATAGTGCCTATGGCACTTGACTGCTAACCACAAGTCTGGCGGTTGGAACCCACCAGCCACTCCTCGGAAGGAAGATGGGGCAATCTACTTCCTTAGTGATACTGCCTCGGAAACCCAAGGAGGGGTCGCTATGAGTTGGGTGCGACTCAACGGCACATAACAACAACAACAAGTCATCCCCACTCACCCTTCAGAACCCACCTCCAAGGCCACTTCCCCTGGAGGCCTCCCCAGTACTCGAGGGACTCCGTCCCCAGTTATACCTCCCACAGTCTACAAACTTCTCTTGTGCAGCACTTACTGGAACTGGAAAAAAATATATGTATACATCAATTAAAGTAACTCATTCTCATTGCCATCAAGTTGATTCTGACTCATAGTGATCCCTCCTTGGGTTTCCAAGGCAGTATCTCCATGGAAGTAGATTGCCTAGTCTTCCTTTACAAGGAGTGGCTGATAAGTTTGAACCACCAGCTTTCTGGTTAGCAGTCTAATGTCTTCGGCACTACGCCACCAGGGCACGTTAGCATCTGATTAGTATCTGTGTCCCTTAGTACATATGGGCTATGGGAGAATGGGGACCATGTCTGTCCCAATCACCACTGGGTCCCCATGGCATATGCTGGGGCCCCTCACAAATAGTTGCTTAGTTAACATTTGTTGACTGTATGGATGGATAAAAGGATTTAGAGATGGGCAGACAGACGGATGGATGGGTAGATGAAAGAATTGGAGACTGGTCAGTTTTAAAGCCACGACCCTAAACAGTTTGGTGACACCAATAGGAGGACTCTGAAAATAAGTCCAGGACTATTTATATATTTATGTTTTAGGACTAAAATCTATTTTAACCCGGCCTTACTTAAATAAACCAGGTAAGCTGCAATGGTTCTATTCTGTCTGACTCACTGAGTTGAATCACGGCACCTTTCCCTCCTTGTAGGGGCTGCAGAGGAGCCAACTCCATGAGGACAGTTCAGCCTGGGCGATCCACTGAGCCCCAAGCAGGACTGGCAGGACAGCCCTGAACACAGCTAGGTTTAAGTTCTAGGCAGACAAGAGGAATGTGGAGGATCTTCCCCATCAGGCCAGGGGTCCCCGCACGTCGGGAAAAGGTACCCAGAGCCTTCTGCAGCGGCACACCAGAGGTACTGGGTCTGGGGTGGGAGCAGCAGCCCATGCACTGCCTCCTACTCCAGCCAGAAACTTGCAGGTAGTAAAAAAGTGGACTTCCAGATAGGTTGTTGAATCAGGAGGGAAAAAATAATTTTAAAAAGAAGGAAAATCTGATGGTGAAAATTCAAGGAAATAAATTCTTCACTGAGGTTTAATCAAGTTGACAACTCTTAACCCTTCTAGGGCCACCATTATTGAGTGCCTGTTATGTGCCTGGAAAGGAGGCAGTGGACATAGCAGTCAACGGGAAGGCCCTGAATCAAACGGCCTTGGTTCAACTCCCTGTTGCACCCATCACTCACTGTTGGACCTTCAATAAACTACTGAACATTTCTGAGTATGTTTCCTCACTTACAACACAGGGATAATGCTCCTTCTTCCCTCTTTACGCTGCTAGTTCTTGTAGTTTTTCTTTTTAATCTGCTTGCTTTCTGTCCATCTCTTCCCACTAGACCACGAGCTCCTGTTCACATTACACCCCTAGTGACCAACATGGAATCTCTTCCACAGTGGGCCCTTGATTAATATCTGATGAAAGATGTGAGCAGGGGGCCTTTGTTCTGTCTGAGTCCAAAGCCCCATCCTTCCCTCTCTGTTATAAGGAGTTTCTGTTGTTAGATGCCTGGAGTCGATCCAACTCCTAGCGACCCCACGTGACAGGAGAACTACCCCACAGGATTTTCTAGGCTGCAGTTTTTACGGGAGCAGATCACCAGGTCTTTTCTACTGTGGAGCCACTGGGTGGGTTCAAACCATTGACCTTTCAATTAGCAGCTGAGGGAGTACTTAACCTCTGTGCGACCAGGGCTCTTTGTTATAGGGGAGAGTTCATCAAGTGAGGGGACAAAGGAGCAGGAGGCAGGGTACTTTTATTATGCCCTTGGCTCCCAAACGAAAGGTTGGCAGTTCAAACCCACCAAACAGCTCTGCGGGAAAAATACCTGGCGATGCGCTCCTGCAAAGATTACAGCCTAGGAGCCCCTCCAGGGCTGCCCTCCTCTGCCACCAGAGGGAAGGGGTATGGAAGTGCTCTGGAGGCTGGGTGGCTTACCTTGGCCGTGGCTTCTTCATTGCCCTCCAACATCTTCCTCAGCTTAATGAACTGCCACATGTCCTGGGCGGGCTTGCTGGTCCCCTGGCTGGCCTCCAGCAGCTGGGAGGTGGAGGGCAGCCCCTGCAGCATGGCCATCTCACTCTCTAGCTTGTCGATTCGGTTCACCACGTGGTCAAAGACGTTGTTGAGCCTCTTCATGGGGTTCAGGATGGGCTGGGCATCCCCTTCCCTGGGCATGAGCATGACCTGTGAGGTCTGGAGGAAGTCCTCGTCCCCTGAGAGGACCTTCCTCAGCTCGGCCATGTGGATATGTTCCAGGATGCCATGCAGCAGCAGGTGCAGGGCCTGGAAGTTCACCACCCCGCCCTGAGGGATGGCGATGTTCACCAGCTCAGTGAATGTAACCGAGAAACTCATTCTGCAGCCAGGGCTGGCCGGGCCGGGTGCTGGGAGGCCTCGGGACCAGGGATGGCTCCTGGGGAATGGCACGGAGGGTCCTCAGAGGTCCAGGGAAGCAACAAGTCACTACTGTCAGGGAGAAAATGGCATCTGTCCTGACTGGAGCTCAGGTCGGAGCTTCTGCTGGTTGCTAGGACACCAAGGAACGTGGACAAGTGGGCGTGCTTCCGAGAGTGTGGAGGTGAGCAGGTGTTCTGGGCCTAGCCTGGCCCGGAGTAGCTCTCATTCATATTTGATGAACACTTGAAAAAGCGGATCACCAGTCTAGTTCGAGCCCTTGATTATGTAAAATTGATGAACCCTTCCAAGAAATGAACAGAAAAGGCAGTGGGAGGACGCTCGCTCCTGGGAAGGCCCTGGAATCGGGACAGAAGAGTGACCAGGAGTTAGGAAAGCCAGTTTTCAAGAAGAGAGTGTGAAGAACTCACTTGGTTTCCAGGCACTGGCCAAACGGCCTACAGGTCTAGCTGGGGAGAATGCAGGAGGTGAGAAGGGCGGGGACAGCAGTGTTCACCTGCTTGATCCTGCCCCTTGCTTCCCACCTCAGGGGGAGGAGGCACCATGTGCTCTCCCCTCGGGCTGGGGCTCCCCCAGACCTCAGCTCCCCCAGAAGGGTCTCAGCCATTGCCAGGGGACCAGGAGACCACATGGGCCCCCACTATGGTTGTGTGCTGCTTCAGTCAATTCTCAGACAAGAAGGTGGCAGCTTGCTTGTCCTACTCTACTAGAGAAGGGGCAGGGAAGGCCCTCAACTCAGTCCGTGGAGCCCCCACTCCTGGCCCACGCTAACATGGGGCGTTCTAGGCTCCTGCCACACACCTGCTTACACACAAACGCAGCTCAGGGATTGAGTCAGCTAAGTTCTTTCTAACACCCTCTTACTGATGTGTGTTCACTGCAAGGAGTCATCTAATCCCACTATGTTCTCAACTGCAGAGTGGCTGGGTGGTACCTTGGTTAATACTCTCAGCTGTTAACTGCAAGGTTGGAGGTTTGAGCCCACCCAGAGGCTCCCCGGAAGAAAGGCCTGGCAATCTACTTCAGAAAACTCAGCCATTGAAAACTGCATGGAGCACAGTTCTGCTTTGACACATGGAAGGTCACCCTGAGTCAGAACTGACAGTAACTGGTAATGTTCAGTGACAGGTAGCTGCTGGCGTCTCCAGCTAGAGCACCTCCCACTGCAAACTCAGGAAACATCTTCCTTTGTTCAGAGCTCTGTGGATTTTGGGATTGCAGATAAGGGATTGTGGCCCCCACTTCCCTGCCCAAGAGCTATAAAGGAGGCAACACTGGAGAATAGAGAGCTGGTTGGTCAGCTTAGTGTTTACTGCAGATGAGGGTTTGGATTCTTCTTACCCGCTGTGTGACCTTGTGCAGATGACTAAACCTCTCTGAACCAGGACTCAGAACCGGTTCATTCTGGTTTAACACCCTACTGAGAATTTGCATTTCCACCCCAGAAATAGGGAATCAGAATTTACATTGTTAACAAGATCACCAGGTGACTCTTATGTATACACAACACTGTTACCTACACTAGCAGCTCTGGTGGCATAATGCCTAACGCATCTCACTGCTAACCAGAAGACTGGCAGTTCAAACCCACCAACTACTCCCCAGAAGGAAGGTTGGGCAATCTACTTCCATAGAGATACCGCCTCGGAAACCCAAGGAGGTGTCGCCATGAGTCGGATCCTATTCCATAGCCGTGGTTGTGTTATGTACTCTACACATGCTTATTCTTATAAAGACATGAGAGTCAGTATATCTGGGTGGAACTGCAAATTCTCCTCAGAGGTCAAACCAAAATGAAGCCCTGCTCTGAACCTCAGCTTCCCTACCTGTTAAATGGGGAAATTAAACATTCCATTGGTTGCTGTGAAAGGGAGACGGTAAAGGTAGAGATGGTACCTGGAAGTGCCTAGCCCACGGCTGACTCAAAGAACTCTTTTTCTGGAATTGCTCTGGTACTCCACTATTGCAGATGATGAGGAAAGCGGGAGAAAGTGCCCAGTGGAATGTCTTGAATTTAGTGTAACCGTATTTTGAGGAAGAATGTAGCTTGTTTATCACATGTTCCTTGGGTCCTGGAGAGAAATTCTTGCCCAGTCTTACACCGGGAACATTGTAGTTCCCCTGGACAGCTTGGGTGTTTGGACCTTATGGGTGCTGAGAATTGAGTCATTGCCGCTAAAGTCAGTTCAGTGACCGACCCAAAGCAACGCTGAAGTCATTAAAGGCCGTGGTTTGCGCTGTATCCTAGACTCATGTTCATCCTTCTGTCCTTATTTCTCTTTCTTGTTTTGTCCTGCCTTTAATTTTTTTTTTTTAGTTTATATTTCACTTTAGTTTTGTTGTTGAGGACGTACACAGTAGAACATAAACCAAGTCAACAATTCCTACGCGAACGACCAGCGACACTGATTATCTCCCTCAAGTCGCTCACCCGCTCTCACCCGCTTTTCTGAGTTGCCCCTCCCCCATTAACATAAACTCACTGCCCGCTAAGGTTCCCACCTAACCTGTCAAGTTGCTATTGTCAATTATATACCATACAGATAATTCTTTAAAAAGCTAACGCTCAAGGCAGACTTCTTTTCATTAAACTAAACTATTGTTCAGTTCTAAGATGACTTCAGGAGTTATTTTCGGTTTAAAGTTTAAAGATGATCTCAGGGCAAAAGTTTCAGGGTCTCATTCATCCAGCATCCATGGCTCAAAAAAATCTGGTTTCCACTAGAATTTTAAATTCTGTTCTACATATCCCCCCTTTTGATCAGGATTCTTCTATATAGAGTCTTTAATCAAAATGTTCAATAATGGTAGCTGGACACCAGCTAGTTCTTCTGGTCTCAGGGCAAAGGAGGCAGTTGTTTGTGGAGGCAATGAGTCACACATTCCATTTCTCTCCTTCTTCTGTTGCTCCAGGTAAACAAAAACTGTCTTTAATTTTGGATATTTTATTTCTTTATTTTTTAAATGTCTTTTAACAAGCCATTTTAAAGCTTTTCTAGAAGATGGAACACACACACGTTTATACACATACATATATACATATTAAATACATATATACACAAAAAACCTACTCATCAATGTTAACTGAACAGCTCTTCCACAAGATGTCTGAACAATATTAGTTTTCTGAGTCTTCAGCACGCTCCTTCTTTTCCTTTACTGTTCCACTAATTTTACATTTTATTTCACTCTGACACTCTTTATTAATGTTCTGACCACCTCTTACACACCCCGTTGGTGAAGGAAAGACAGCCTGCTCTAAATTGTATGAGATGGCCAAATACATGACACCCAATGCTTTCTGGCTATTACAAATAACACTGCTATAAACATTCCTGGACAAGTTTTTGTGTGGACTAACATTTTCATTTCTCTTGGGCACATGCCGAGGAGCAGAATTGCAGGTCATGCGATGCCTCTACATGAACCTTTTGAATAACCACCAGCTGCACCATTCTATAGTTCCACCAGCAATGTAGGAGGATTGCAAATTCTACACATCTTTGCCAACACTTGGTATTGTCTGTTTTAAAATTATAAGCAGCCTAGTGAGTGTTGGGGAGTCCCCAGGTGGTATAAACAGTTAAAATGCTTGGCTGCTAATTGAAAGTTGGAGGCTTGCATCTTCCCAGAGGTGCCTTGGAAGAAAGGCCTGGAGATCTACTTCTAAAAAATCAATCACTGAAAACACTATGGACAGGGTTGGACAGTCAGTTAATGGAATTGCTGTCAATAAGTCAGTTGTACACCTATAAAAAGGTGAATTGGCATAAGTTATGTGATAGATATATTTACAACAATGATTTTAAAACAAGTGTCACTGCTAAGTCTGCTTATGTGCAATGAAACACTTTAGAGGATTTAGTTCCTTGGTTTGGAGGTTTAGGGTTGTGGTTACATGTGACATCCCAGTTAATTAACCTCATAATGTGTTCAGTGCTTCTGTTCCACCTCCTGTTTCATGGCACAGTGTCCAGGGTCCCTAAACCTAGCAATAGACCTTCTAAGGCACAATTGTCAGGAATAGAAGGAGGAAATGGAATGTGCAGCTAATTGCTTCCATGAACAACTGCCTCCTCTGCCATGAGACCAGAAGAACTAGATAGTGCCCAGCTACCATTACTAAACATTTTGATTAAAGATTCTTTAGAAGAATCTTGATCAAAGGGGGGAAATGAAGAACAGAATTTCAAATTCTCATAGACTTTCTACAGCCATGGAGGCTAGATGAACACTTGAAACAATGGCTTTGAGATCATCTTTAACACTTAAACCAAAAATATTGCATGAATCTTAAAAACAAACAACAGTTTAATTTAACTAGTAAAGAATATTTCCTTTGATATCCAAATTGGTAAGGAAGAAGTCAAACTATCCCTATTTGCTGATGATATGATCCCATGCCTAGAAAACCTAAGAGACTCAGTAAAAAATCTACTGGAACTAATTGAGAGATTTAGCATAGTAGCAGGATACGAGATCAACATACAAAAATCAGTTGGATTCCTCTACACCAGCAAAGAGATTGCTGAAAAAGAAATAAGGATATCAATATCATTTGCAATAGCTACTCAAAACAAAACAAAATAAAACAAAACTTGGGAATAAACCTCACAGGGACACAAAAGACCTGTACAAAGAAAACTATAAAAGACCACATCAAGAAACCATAAGAGATCTACATAAATGGAAGAACATAGCATGCTCATGGATAGGAAGATTGAACATTGTAAAAATGTCAATTCTACCCAAAGCAATCTATACATTCAATGTAATCCCAAATAAGATTCTATCAACATTCTTTGTTGTTGTTGTTAGGTGCCGCTGAGTCATCTCCGACTCATAGCAACCCTATGCACAGCAGAATGAAACACTGCCCAGTCTTGTGCCAGCCTCACGATCCTTGCTCTACCTGAGCCCACTGTTGCAGTTACTGTGTC